AGGGATAATATCCTATAGGCGGGATTTGACAATTGATCTTGATTTTATAATACTTTATTCCTATAGGCATATCATCTAGGAGGGACAGTGTAATGAAAATAACAGAAGTAGTCGATTAATTAATTAGTTAAGATCCTATAGTCATGATATCTAGATGAGCGTTAACAAGAGCATGTATTATTGCATCCTATAGGCATGTTGTCTAATAACTAAACAAGTAGTTATTAGCGTTTGGTTCTTATAGACACATTGTCTAATAGTGCACAGCAATAGACATGGAAACATGTACAACACTTACTCAAACTAACATCCCTTGCATAGTGTACATGTATTAGACAAGTTAAGTGGAGTGTCTGATTTCCTATAGGCATGGTTTCTATGTGTGTACAGAAATAAAGCATGTCGAACAAGGTAGCAAACAAAGCAGGTAGATCCTATAGGCATGCTCTACCTGTTTATGCGAGTATTAGAAGATACCTGTTTCCCTCCAATTTCATTAACACCTCAGTTGTCTGTTTACAAATTATTACAAATCTAGATTAAAATAATTACAAGCCCAAAAGAATGATCACAAGCCCAACTAGAAGCACCACAGGCCCAACATAAATACAGAATACCCAGCGGCTGCTTCTGGGCCTTCAACTAAGCCTGGGGCCTTAGGTGATGAACAGAACCACACTCCAAGTAGTTATTAACATGCTTCAGTTCTGAATATCCAACTAGCCCAACAGTTAGGCCCAAACCATAAGATCACTGCCTTGCTTTCCCATAGAATACTTAAATAGCCATAATGACACAAGCTAAGTACCAGGCTAGCTAAACAAACTTTAAGACTTAGGAACCTTATCTCTTAACACTATAGCTGATAAAGAGTAGAGTTTTCCAGAACAAGACACACAAATGTGGTTACACAAAATCCCTTACAGGCATATATGGCGTAGATAGAAACAAGCTCTCAACGATAGATTTAAGCATCATAGGACAGCAAAAGCAGAAGTTCAAGGTAGGCATGATGCCAAACTAATCTCAATAGGACACCAGATGTATAATTATTGACATGGAGTCCAAGAGTCATAATCAGAACAAACAAAGGGGAAACAGTCTCGCAAGAAAAACTTTGACAAGAGAGCCTAAAGATCACAACTAACTTGTAGAACTTAACATGTGAAATGTTCAGGCAAATAACACAAATGTTCTAAATCCAACATGTAAGCATCCATGACAAATGAGAATAAGCTAATCTTCAGATTAGTAAGGCAAATATACTTCACATGAAGAGGCTAGGACTTATTCTAGTCAACATAGGGAGAATAGGCTAGACATATATTGAAATTTCCCCTAGGACTCTTAAGCAGTCAGTGAGCACACAACATCAAAGCGAAGAAATAAGCCGGCATGGGAATTGTAATAATATTGGCATAGGGAATCCATATAATCGCAGGGTGATTTCAGGGAGGTAACAGGTTGTACATGAAAGTCTTAGCAAACACACATTCAAATAAATTCTGGGAACGCATTAATTCCTTAAGAGAATCTAAGTCATGGATTCATGATAAGCAACAGACCTTAAGTAATCAATTATACTTAAACATGAAGATGGGCAATCACTTAGATTGGATACTTATAAGGGCATGTATTAAGACCAACAGTGGCAAAAGAACATATTAGGCTAAGCACTTAGACAATATTATCACATGATTTGCAGAGAAACAACAAGTTATGTAAAAGGATTCAACAGGAAGAGAGTAATTCTGAGCAAGGGCATAGTTTCCTAAGTGTTTTAGTACAAGAAATCAAAACACGGTGCAACAAGCAACAATTAGGTTTTAATTACGAATCAGGAAGGCATCATGAATCAACTTAGCTAGCCACATATGAGTTAAAACCAAGACCTGAATAGAATTGAAGCTAGTGGAACTACAGAGTGATACTAAACAAGCAGAATTGTATACGAAGTGGCATAATATCGATATTAACTCAGGAAAATCCAAGTAGCACTAGTGCACATAACACAAACACAAATAGAAAGAAGTAGAATTGCGAGAATATGAGGTACTAACCAGTTGCAAACAAAGCAAATAAAGAATGAGAAAGTCAAAATCTTAGGAATAGCAGCAATTATAGGAGAATAATGAAACCTTAAATCTCCAGTGCTTTAGAGTTCACAAGAGCCTCGAAGTGGGCTCCGAGCAATGCTTGCACTGGAAGAGGCTAATGAACAGATCCTGGTAGCTTTCAGCCGGCCAAAATCGAAGTCTTAGAATAGTATAGAATGAGTGAGAGTGGGAGAATAGTAGTAGTAACAGTAGTTAATTCATAAAAAATCCTCCTCTAAGGGAGACGGTAAAAGGGTTTATATAGTGTGGAATCAGGCAAATAAACAAGGAAAGAAATCAAGTAAACATGAACAAAATGAGTAAAATATCACATGCAATCAGTAAGTAACCGGAAAGGAAAGAAATCAAACTCCAAACCCTAGTTAGGGTTTAATACTCGAAAAATCGACCAACTGGTATGAAGAATCAGGCCCTTTTTCATATACATGGACGAAATATTGTCCAAATATTCAAGTTTGAGGTTGATTCCAGTCCGATATAGAGATGGTATTAGCCAAAATGGGAAAAATACCTAAGTAATACCATAAACGTATGACCAGTAGCGAAGAATATAGATAAGGTAAGCAAATAATGGTGGAATCCCATTATCAACGGAATTAGAAGAGGGAATTAAGGAAGAGGCGGCTAGGGTTATTAATAAGAGAGAAGAGTAGTATAGAGGGTTCAGAGGCGGTTGTCTCTGAAGAATGGGGCTAGGGTTTGGGGTGGATATAATTAAAAAGGTGGGTTTATCATGGACCGTTGATCTTGAGAGATCAACGGTCTAGATTAAAGAATCGGCGGGGCGGGTCGTTTGAAGTGGGTCGTGACTGGGTCAGTCATAGGGGTCGTTTGGATTGGGCTTTGGGGTTATTGGGCTGGCTTGGCGTGTGGTCTGATAGATTGAGTCCGAAATTGGCTCCAAATTGAGCTACAAATTAAATACACAAAAAATAATTTATAAGAGGTAATTAACAAATAATAAAAAATATTATTTATGTAGTAACATACCTTTTAAAATAACAGTTTAATATTATAAAAATATAAAATGCTATTTGGCATAAATAATATAATAAAAATGTAATTATGCGCATCATATAGGCTATTACTACAAAATTATGTAAAATAGCTTTAAAATACAAATATAATTATATAAGATAAAGTAAAATATTATGACACATATATGTGGATGAAAATAATAAATTTGGATGATTAAGTCATCACAAAATAATTTAAAGAGGAAATTAATACATATTCAAGTAATTAAAGAAAATCCATTTTAAAGCTTTAAAATTATGGAAAGTCATGGAAAATACTTATATGAACCCTGTAAATTAGGTAATAATGCAAAATAAGATATATGTGACACTTATAAAAATACGAGGGCAAAATTGGGTATCAACAAACCATACATTCACTTTGTAACATAAGTAGAGAATGAAGAAAAAGAGTAACTTTTTTTTTGAAAATTACTTGTTCATTGTGTAATACCTCGCAAATCACACAAGAGATTTAAATCAAGCCCAGTACGACAAGGTCTGACTGAGGATGACAGTGAGGGAAATTAATTCGAGATCTTTCATGTGGGAAATCAGTCGCCCGATCAACTCAGCCAACCTTGCTAAAAGTAACTTATAACTTAAAAGATTTAGCTTTTGAAATTTCAATGGTGGTTGCAAATTTAGTAAGATCCTTCACTTTCATGACTCAGTGTCTTCGCTCCGGCAAATTCTCACGCCTCGTTTACTCGAAACATTTTAAAATTGAGCTACCACATATCAAGCATTTTAAAATTTAAAAGCTGGAAAATTCTACAAAAATTTAGTACTTAATTTTTATATCAGAGTTGTTGATTTGTTCAACCACTAGTTTGAACCGTTGGGAGATCAATGGAAAATTATTAGACTTTTTGACCAATTGTAGGACCCAAACCAACAAGTTTTTCTTCCTTCTGGTCATTATTCTGTTTCCCTTTAGAAATTTCTGACTTTAAAAGGAAAAATATAATATACGGTGTAAGCTTAAACTTAGTTTATAGTACCTATTTGGTCACCTGAAAAGTCTCTTGACCCCCAAAATTAGGGACAAAAGACAACATGTCTTTCAAATGGATTTTTATTTCATCTGGGAGTCACATGAGCCTACCAATAGTAGAATACCGAAGCTGAGGGGAAAAAAAAAGTTAGCCTCCCTTCTTCGCAAAGGCAGAATTTTAACTAAGAGGTTCAACATCTACTGTATACAAATAAATAAAAAACTGACACGTAATTTTTCGCCGACCCCCTTCCTTCCCTCTAGCTCCGCCCCCTGCCTGCTAGCCTTATTAGAAATTCCCCATCCACATGAGGGGGACCAGGGGCCCTTGCGGCAAGCAATGTCACGTGACATTGCTTCGTCGAAATTGTTGTTAAAACATATATATATATATATATATATATATATACATATATATATGAAATATTGGGTATAAATATAAAAAATAACATCGCTTGTCATTATTGTGACTTATTCATTCATTTATTTCTTCAAATTTTGACATGGCTTATCAAAAATTTTACGTACCCCACTAAGGGAGACTCCATTTTAATCATGTATTGATTAGTATAACGGGTGTCACCTACCACAACCTTTCTTCTTTTATCCGGCTTGAAACCGGAAATGTGAGTACACCTGTTCTTTATCTAACTTGAAATCAGTAATGCGAGCAAGCTCACGCGTGGAAACTCCATACTAATACCATACAAACTTGGTGTAGTAATCAAGATTCTACAGCTACGTTATGTTAAACAAGAGGATGAAAATCACATGTTTGTATGTTAGATACTATATTTTGGTCTTTGTTGTGCGGATAAAAATGATAAATATTGAAAAGCAAAAACCAGTAAACACCATAGAATTGAAAAATGCAGAGGGAATAAATTGATGGTGTCCATCTATTATAAAGTAAGATAAGATCATACAAAATTCACAATGTTATTTGTACATGTTTGAGAAGAAACATATATATTCGACAATTCCAGAAAATTACAAAAAGGGAAAGTAAAACACTTGCAATGTATGAGATATCTGTCAAGACTCTCATCACTAATCCCTTCTCGCCCTTCATTCTTGAGGACAAATATTTACACCAGAATCCATTGCCATATGTGCAGGAAATCCGCTGAAATATAAGTTATCAACTCCTGAAAAATGAACGCAAAGGTAATATCGTCGTACAGGACAAGAAATTTCCTCTTAAAACACATGAATACCAGGCGGGGTGTTTATGTTGTCGAGCCAAGTAACTAACTGCTGAGAGGAAGGCCTTATTTTAGGAGATTCATGCAAACAAAGGCAAGCAACTTCAAAAACCAATAGCATTTCTTCCGCATGCTGCTTGTCGTATATCAAAGGATCAAAGACTTCTGTTTCCCTCTTTTGTTTCTTCAATTGTTTCACCCAAGAGATTAGATCTCGGCTTGCTCTAGGCTTGCACGGATCCATCGGTCTTTTGCCCGTAAGAAGCTCCAAAAGAACAACACCAAAGCTATACACATCCCCTTTATAGGTAGCGACAGAAGCTTGGCCGTATTCAGGAGGTATATACCCTAATGTTCCAACGACATCAGTCGTCACATGAGTGTCATAAGGCAGAATAAGCCTAGCTAGACCAAAATCAGCCAAGTGTGCTTCAAAATCTTCATCAAGAAGAATGTTACTTGACTTTATATCTCGGTGTAGGATATGAGGCTCACACGCTTGGTGCAAGTACGCAAGCCCTCGGGCTGCCCCTTGAGCAATCTGAAGCCTCATATCCCAGTCCAACAAAGCAGGTCCGTCAACTTTCTCGTGCAACCAATAATCTAAGCTTCCATTCTCCATGTAGGAATAAATTAGAAGCCTGTCGGTTCTGTACTTGCAATATCCTTGAAGATGAACAAGATTTGGATGCTGGGCTCTTGAAAGCGATTCAACTTCTGCTTGGAATTCTCTTTCCATCTGTCCATAGTCACCTGAAAGCCGCTTGATGGCAACTTTCCTACCATCGCGAAGGATGGCCTTGTAGACCAAACCGAAACCCCCACAACCAACAATATTTGATTGATCAAAATTGTCAGTACACGCCAAAAGGTCATTAAGTGACATCTGTTTATTGTTGTCCTTGTTATGGAAAAATATCACCAGACTTGAGCCCAAGTCTTCCCGATCCCTGTTTGAAGCATCCGGCTCCTTTTCTGGATCGACAACTTTACGATTGCTTGCTCGCACAACAATCAAGTACATAAGAGCAAGAAGAAAAGCAGTTCCAAGACCAATGCCAATACCCATGCCAATGACAGTTCCTTTGCGTCTTTTTCCTCTTGCAGCCGAACCACTGGGAATTTGGTTGGCATTTTGACAGGGAGTAGCACTATGTTCACCACAGAGTCCTGGATTGCCCTCAAAGCTTGAATTTGAAAATGTTGCGAACTGGCCTCCAGTAGGAACTTCCCCCGAGAGTTTATTATAAGCGACACTGAACTTTGACAGAAAGCTGCATTTCACAATAGAGGAGGGTATTTTGCCAATCAGATTGTTGCGAGATAGATCCAAAATCTCTATGCTTGTCATACCAGACAGGGCACCTGGTATTGTCCCGGATAAATTGTTGCTTTTCAGATCCAAAACATGTAACCTTTTCAGATTTCCAAATTCTGGCCAAATTGCTCCAGTGAAAAAGTTGTTACCTAGTTCCAGTGTCGGGGGGAAGCTAAAAATCTGATTATACTGCAAACCTTTAACACTTACATTTCTTTTCAAGAAAAAGGGAAAATCTGGTGATGGTTCATTCATCCAAATAGGGCCAGAGATTAGGCTTTGCAATCCAGTAATTTCTTTTGGAATCTCCCCTGTTAATGAATTGTTTGACAAATCCATATAGAATAGAAACTTGAAATCTCCAATCCAGGGTGGAAGTGTTCCCATCAAACGGTTCCACGACAAATCCAACAGTTGCAGCTTTGAGATATTTCTTAACCACTGAGGAACCGTTCCGGTGAGCCTGCAATTGGCAATAATGAGAGCTTTCAGCTCTCTGAACTGCAGGTTAGGATCTGTAGGCAACTCTTCATCGCGAAAGTTCAAAGTAAGGACCAAAGTAGTTAAGTTCTTGCAGTTCTGTAAAATCCTAAGAGCAGCATCAATGTTATGGATACTGTTGTTCGAGACTGAAAAGGACGAAAGGCTATGAAAATTCTTGAAACTTTCAGGAATTTGTCCAACGAAATTGTTTCTAGCAAGATTGATAGTTTGCAACTTGGGACAGTTAGGAAGATTATCAGGAACTGACCCTATGAAACCATTTGTAGCCAGATCAAGAGAAACAAGACTAAACATGGCCGAACAATTAAGCTCAATGGTACCCCCTAAAGAATTATTCCTCAAACTAAGAGAACTAATAGTCCCAGAATTTGCCAATGAAGGAGGTATTTTACCAAAAAACCTATTTGAATGAGCTGAGAAATAAGTTACATTCCTTAAGCTATGAAACACATCTGGTATGTTTCCTGAGAATCCATTTGAACAAATATCCAAATGAACCAAGTTAGAAAGGTTACCAATCTGGCTGCTAAGCTGCCCGTCGAACCGATTCTCTTGAAGAGACAATACAGTCAATCTTGAAAGCTTAAACAGTTCAACAGGTAAACTACCAGAAAGAAGGTTAGAGCCAAGGCAAAGATGTTCCAATGAACCACAACTCCCAATTCCTGTTGGAAGACTGCCATTAAAATAATTGAACCCCATTTTAATAACAGAAACTCTTGTTGAGTTTTTACATATACCCAAAGGAACTGACCCTTCAAAGGAATTATCAGATATATTGAAAGATTTGAGTGAAGGCAAGTTAATGCTATCAGGAAACAAGCCAAAGAAATCATTGTTGCTCAAGTCTAAGACCTCCAAATTAGGCAAATGCATTATTTTAAAGGGGACAGAACCTTTAAGGAAATTGTGAGACATATTAAGGGTTCTAAGCTGATCCAAATTACCTAAAGATTCAGAAAGTTTCCCATTTAGCCTCCTTTTTCCAAGTTCCAATTTCACCACCCTCCCCATATTAGGAGAGGATGAGGAATTACAAGTAATACCCACCCAATTACAGCAATTTGTTGAATTTCTAATATCCCAAAAATCAAAAACTGTTTCCAAACTGTTCACAAAATCCTCCAAAGCTTTGAAATCATTTGGATTACATGTAAAGTTTGGATTTTGGGACTGAGCTTGTAAAGAAAGTCCTAAAAAGAAAAAGATTATACCAAGTTGCAACATATTGAAACTACACATTTTTTGCATCAAGATGTCTCATTTCTCAGCAACAAGAATCAAGAATCAAGATCAAAGAACATATAACTGCTAAATATTGCAAAAGAAAGAGTAAATGGACAAGAAAGAAGAAAAAGGGTACTTCACAAAAGTGATGAATGAGAATAAAAAGCAAAGCTTTGAGGCAGAAGGAAGAGGGGAAAAAAAGGAAAGTGGAGGTAGAAAAATGTGTAAATAGAAAGAAGAAGAACAGGGATTTTTTTGTTTTGTTTGTTTTTGCTTTATATTCAGACTTCAAACGCTCTTTACTGGTCCAAATAGGGCTGCTGCTGCTGCTATTTGCTATTGTTCCATTCTATCCCACTTAAGGGACTTTGCACTTTTTTTTTGAGAGAGAGAGAGAGAGAAAGCTGTTTGCAATTGCAATGCAATTATTTTTAACAGGAGTATTTATTACTAATATATTACGAACTACTACTGTGTCAGCCGCTGGTAGTGAGGACTGTGGTGGAGTTCCAATTAATATTTAAACTAATATATGTGCCCATTTCTTGCCACTTATTAGAATTAAAATTAAAAAAAAACATTAAGTGGTGAAATTAATGGACTAACCCTTTTATTTTTAAATAATAAATTTGATGAACCGTCTGTCAAGGGGAAAATATTGACTCATTTCCAATATTTGTTATTATAAGTTTCCTTGTGCACCAACTCTATTTCACTATGAATAACGTGGGAACACATGTAAGTTTCTTCTAATTGGGGAAAGCTTTGTATTTTTTCTTTCTTTCTTAGTCTCATTTCAGACTTTGAGGGATCAAGAATGGTTTTCCAAGTATTTTACGTGAGTCTATCTTCCCGTTTACCAGTTCAAATTTATTTCTCAAATTATATTCAATCGATGAGACTCTGAATACTTTCTTAATTTTTCTTCATAATAATTATAGGCTTATAGCGTATCAAGAAAAAACACAAAACTTAAAAAATGCTTGATATGGCATGCAAATTGAGAAGGAAAAAAAAAGAATATGCAAATATCCCAATTTCTCTTAAAAGTATCACTCTAATTGAATGTTCACCTTTTCCTAGTCTTCTTATGATAATGTCACAAAAGTTATATGAGGGCAATAATTAATATTCATAGCAATAACACGACTATTCTTCTTCTACCGTCCATGGTTTTCAGAATATAAAAGGTCAACATAGTGCACACATATTTGAAGGGCGGATTTAGAATTTGAAATATACGAATTTACCAAAATTCCTGGACTGGGATCTCGTCTTATCTTCTCGAGCTATCTTACCTTTCCCCCATAATACTTATGATGTTAGGCTAAATATTCATGTTTTCGCATGTAATTTGCCTTGCATTATACCTCAATCTTGTTAACTTTGGTGTAAATATTTGTGAATCGAGCTTATTAATGATGTTTATATGTGTAGGAGTCAATTTGAAGTGATTTGGCAAGTTTGCATGCAAAGTGAAGTAAAAAACTGAAGAATTTGGAGGAAGAATAAGTTTGCCGCCCAGGTTGGTGCCATGCACATGACACCAACCAAAACGCCAAAGGCAGAATAGTGGAAAATTTTGTTGTCCTGATTGGCGCCTGGCGCCAAGTGAGATGGCTAAGGGCAGATTTCCTCCTAATTCGGCTAGGACTTGATAGTTTCGAACACGCCTCCAACATGTATAAAAGGGGTTCTAAACCTATTTCTTAGGGTTAGACATGATTTTGGAGGAGAAAAAGGTTGCTAAGCACTATGGAGCAAGAATCAAACGAGTTTTTCCTTCCTTTCTAGTAAGTGCCAGCTAGCGTAGTTCGGAAGAATACGTCTAGTAAATTATTTTATTTTCTTGGAAGATAATTACAACACCCAAAGTGCTCACGATCGATAAAGAATATCTAGGTGAATATATATGAGACGTGGCGGGGAGGATTCCGACGAGAGGGAAAATCGTAACCTTAGACCTTTCTGATCTTGTCTACAACATTTGTCTTGTTAGTATTAAAATTACAGCTTTTTAATTACATTGCCTTTTGTTAGTAAACACTCAAACCATTATTTAATATTTCTGAAGGTTGATTACTTGAATTCGTGCGAATCTAGTGGATCTAATTAATAGGTTAATTCCCTGTGGGATTCATCTCCGGACTTATAAATCGGATTATATTTGCAACGACCACTAGACTTCTTAAGAGACATAGTTGGGCGTGATCAACTTACACTAAGTTATAATCCGCCAGCTTTGGTCTAAAATGGTAATCACTAAATTTTTGACGTGTTTGAATTCTTCCTAGCCCTTTGTGGTAAGTTAAGGTTCTTTTGTACAAATGTTTGATTAGCCCTGACTGGTATAACTTTGATCATGGTCACATCGAGATAGACCGGTATACAGTTCGCATCAATACCTTAAACTTCCCCGTCAGATTCGGACCTTCTCAGAATTCATTAATTTTGTTTATTGAATCTGTTTTCAACTTTTGATTGAACCATATTGTCTTCCTCTATTCAAAGCTTCGTGCTATACTGCTTGTACACATCGTTTCAAGTAGTCGGAGAAAATTCTCTAAGACTTTTCTTTAACCTTCTCGTAGCCTTTGAGCGTATTTTGTTAAAATTCTTTGTGAAAGCTATTGCCTCCCAATTATCAGGGACGGGTGGCAAAAGCATCCTTTCCCTTTGAAATCGATTCACAAACTCTCTAAGAAATTTTATGCTCCCTTTTTGTATTTTGAAGATGTCTTCCATTCGCTTCTCTACCTTTTGTACTGGGCTTTTATGAAGTCATTTGTAAGTTCAGCAAATGAATCAATTAAATTTTCAGGGAGAAGAGAATATGATGTTACTGCTCTCTTGGTGAGAGTTTCCCAAAAAGTTTTACGATTACCGACTCAATTTCCTGCTTAGTCAACTATTTGCCTTTGACTCTCGTGGTGAATGCTATCATATAATCTCGTGGGCTTGAGGTACCATCATACTTGGGAATGTTATCCATTTTGAACTTTTTCGTGATTGGCAATGGCGCTACACTAGGCTTCCACGATTGCTGAGAGTACTTATCTATATCTATTCCTTTGATTATGGGCGGAACACCCGGGATCTGCTCTATCCATTTGTTCTGCTCCTTGATCTGTTTCTGTAAGGTTAGAACTAAGTTTTGTATATCATACCGAGAGTACCTGAACTACATGCTCCGAAACTATTTGGCAATTCCCTAATCCATGAATTTTCAAGCATTGAATTGTGGGTTTCCATGACCAGATTAGTTCTTGGTTGCTGAGTAGGAATTTTGATTGTTGTACTGTCAGTTAAGGCTCTCACTACTTCCCCGATCTGATTATTCCACTGGTTTTGTTGAGTGATAAAACTTTTCGCCTCATCTTCCAACCTTAATTGTTCCTCATTTCTGCTAGTAGATCTATTGGTGAATTCTCTCATGAGTGACATAGAGAGTTCAACGATATATGATTTTGTTGATCTTGTGGTGTGTCCCCTGCCATCATACCTAGACTTACATGGTGATTGCTATTATTAACTTGATCTACCTGTTGGTTAGCGGGATTAATTCTAGACATAATATTTTTAGATTAAACTTAGTAAGTGCAAATCACGGATAACTTGTTGAAACAAAGATTGTTTTTTAGGAAAATGAACTATTGTTAGAGCCCTACTATGAGCTCCAAACTGTTTAATCAAAAATCAAACTAATAGGTCAAATCAATTAGGGCACCAACACTGATTTAATTAACTTTCCCAAATAAGAGCAATACGAAATAATGTAAATGATGAACAAAGTAATAAAATAATAATGTAAATGATTAGAATAGCTCTTCTTTTGTATCTCTCGAAGCTTGAGTTGCCAGAAATACAATGCCTACGATTTTGGGAATAGAATAATAATTTTCAAATAAGATCCAATTGAAGGGAAAGAGGAGTTTAAATAGTGAATCTACTCCCCTGGTATTACATTTGTAAATTACGTACATTAATTGTATTCTCTGCCCATTATGGTGAGAATCTGTAACTCATAGAGAATCTATACATAATTTAGCTTTATCCGGGATTGACTGATCTTACTCTTTTCCATATCTACGAGAGATCTCCGTACCGAATTTGGCATGATTTCGTTACGAACAGTTTCGGTACTAATAGTTATGGTACCATTATATTTGGTACCAAGTGTTCCTCTAATTCTGTCCATATCATTCTTCAACCCTTTTGTAACATTGTTTATCCGAAAAAACCGGATAAAGTAAAATTTGTACATGATTCTAAGAATACGTGATATATCTTGATACAAATTGTAGAGTGAAATGCCAAAATTTATATTCTTGGCAAATTGAATGAAATATAAGAACAAGGAAAAGGAAAATGTTCAAGAACCGGGTACCCCTTCAATGTACCAACCTCCCCCTCTTATATTGGAGGATCCTACTTTATTTATAATAATAATATATAGTGGAGGACCTACGATGAATTGTCTTTTTCTCGATTTCCACCAAGATTCTCTTACATAATGCGGTTGCAACGACTCTTGTCTGCGAGCTCGATACTGGCCCGAGCTCGATATTGGATCGAGCCCTCGGCCTTGGTCCGAGCTCGATTCTGACTTGGGGTCTCGATATTCATGGTGAGTGTTGGTCGGTGTATGCATCTTCGATAATCTCCGCTTTGCCTCGTAGTTCGATTTGGATATGAGCTCGATAATGATACCGAGGTTGTCATTGATCGGTCATAGAGCTCGAAACTCGACGCCCTTACTTCGGACCTCGACCGAGCTTGTCATGCAAATACCCTTTGATCGAAGCATTATCGTCTCGACCAGTCCGTACGACTAACTCAATCGGTTTTGACCATACACAAATATTCTTGACATGTATTGGGATTTGATTAATCCATGTGGTAAGTCTATTTTTTATCAATACACGTACTAATCTCATTCTTTTGGAATTATAGATCATATTTTTTTTTTAAACTTTTTTCGGTTGCCATACAAAAATTAAACAAAAATACTATGTCTTAATTTATGTGATGCATTTTTCTTTTTAGTTTATCCTAAATACAATTTAAATTTAACTTCTCATTTCATTCTTAATGATATAATTTATAGCAACACAAATATTTGTGGCTTGCTTTAAATTATAATTTGGTTAGGGAATAAATTATCCCGAGATTGTAGTGACGAGACTATAATATGTAAATTAACTAATAATAAGATTATTTAGTAAATATACCTTTATTAGTAGATGTTGGGTTCAAGGACTAAAAAAGGGATGTACACAAAATATATTTTTTGTTTATAATAAATAAGTCGAGACAAATTTTTATTTTTATTTTTAACCTTGAATTTTTAAAGGATTTTGGAAGAAGAACCTTGGAGAAGGACATATTTATCATTTTAATATTTGTAATCCA